TGCGATCTTATCCACTTATGTACACAGTCGGTAGAACAAGGCCCTTCTATGCGATTAGGTTCTTAAGATTATTTATGTCAATACTAGGAATTTTCCAGAGTAACCGTCTTCCACGCAACCTCCTTTCATTGGTGGACGTCATCCACCACCCCCTGAAATTCTTCCTATATAAGCCTTACCCTTTTGCCGCGAGCTCAGTTACAATTACAGTTCCAGTTGCAGTGAGTTACAGTTACAGTCACAGTTACAGTTACAATTGCAGTTTTTCAGTTCTCAGTCTCAGTTCCCAAGTCTTAGTCAGTCTTAGTTCTCATTCTCAGTGTTCTTTTGTAATTCTCAGATGTTTAGTTCTCAGTTCTCAGTTCTTCTTTGTCAGTCTTAGTTCAATCTTCAGCAGTCTTCAGTCTTAGTCTAGTCCAGTCTTCATTTTCGTCTTCGTCTTCATTCGTCCTCGTCAGTCTATTGATTCATCTAAATCGTAAGTCTCTATTTCATATTTAACCCCTTAACCTACAACTACGGGCATAGCCCGTAGTAGATGATCGGGCCAAACGTGAATATTACGGGCATAGCAAATAGTAGATGATCGGCCCAAACGTAAATATTACGGGCATAGCCCGTAGTAGATGATCGGGATTTGTAGAATATTTGGTAAGGGATGTAATAATTGTGGTAGATGCAAGGCCGAAATTTTCGAATCTAAATCGTAGGTTAAGGGGTTAAACATGACTTTTAATCATTTCAATCCAATCTCCCATCCCACTTCACTCCTCAAAACACACACATACACTACGTGATTATTATCTTCTTTGTATTATATAACGATGTTTTCCTCGCTATATTGATGCGTTAAACATTCTTGTTATGTTATATTCGATTGTATTAAATTAAGTTACACGAATTACCTTTTACTTAATCACACTTTAATCTTCATCTTGTATTTGCATTATTCCAATAATGCCGATTTATAAAAGTTTGTTTAATGTTAACCCACACATCTCATTGTTTAACTTTAGCTAACCCTTTCATCTTTTAAATGTTGTATCTTCTACAATTACTTTTCTCATCGATTTACCACTATTATTAATCCATCAGAGAACCAAATTATGTTATTAGTACAATTAATAAACTGTCAAAATACCCTAAATTTACCAAATCGTTAAAACTATTTATTCATTTCCTTTCAATCATTTAAATCTAAATTCCCCTCTCTCAACACGCTCATATTGTCCTATCCCAGGTAAAGAGATTAAGTTTTTTGACCTAAATAAAGGACCACCTAACGTACATTCTGTGATCGGAGTAAATGGGCCTCTCCGGACCTTGACCTGATCTGCAGACCTACCAGTACGTTTAAGATTCACCAGTGCGCGAGTAAACAATTTTATTGCGTTCGTCCTCTTCCAGGACGTAACAAAGTAATATGTTGCACATCTCTCATAATTTGTTCAGAGTCTGCGGTATTAATATCATAGGATTGTTCAGTTTCAAACTCATCACTTGTATAATTTTCATATTCTGAAACAAACTCTTCACTATCAGATTCTTCAGCAACTGTTTACAGCTCAGTTTCATTCAAATATTTGCGTCTTGCCATGGTTGATGCAAAATTCAGACTGAATTGATAGCACTCAGTGCGAATCATTTTGTAGGCATAGAATATGAATAAACATAAACTTGCAGCAACTTGTAGTGATCTACAGTATCTTGCAACAGACGGCATGCTGCTTGCACGTAGTGGTATGACTTACAGGAGAAGAAACATTTTAAAACTGAGAAAATCGTAACGTTCAAGCATACCTGCAGAAACTTGATGCCACTGCTTCCACAGATTATTAAGGACAGAAAAACAAATGTATGCAGGCTCAAAAAGAAGATTCCCCAGGACAGCTTGAAAAACTCACCCCAACATGGAAATAAATAGATGTAGATATGCCACTGGGCATATCTATTACAAGTCGATTTAACTACTAAACTAACTACTACTAAGTAACTAAATGTCCTTGTTGAAACAGATTGTAGCTAAAAATTAGGAGACGAAAAAAAGATATTTCCATTGAAACCATTCGGATTTGTTTGCGTAAGAATAATATAAAATATCCAATATATTTATGTATTCTGTAGTTTGACAAAGAGAATACCCAAAATTAGGAAACTTAGATCTGAACCAAACTTTAATAGTTTATAAAATAGGGGGCCCCAAGTACAAATCTAAAATATTAGGCGTAGAATACTAAGCATTCAAAAGTTATTAATAAAATATATTTCAGCGTCACGCGTGTACGAGTGTAATAGATCGATCCTTGGCAAGAACCCTACGGCGCTGTTACGCGCTGTTTCAAGATGTGGTACGTAACAAAGCTATCATAATTATATTTTAATGAACATTTATTATTATTTTTATTGTACATAAATAGTATTCTGTCTAAGCATAATTCCGTAGCAAAATTCTTATAGATATCGTTCGCAGTTGTTTTTCCGCTCGCACATGTGTCAAACATATGAAGTGTCGTACATAAAATGAAAGCTGAAATTTGTGCCGACATTTTAAGAAAGTATTCATCAAGGTCCGTGACGTATACGAAGTTTAATCATATTTTGAACATGGAAGGAAAAAACGTGTATTTTCGGTGCATTTCGCTTTTTTTATTTCTGAAAAGGCAAAAACGCGTCTCAAACTCACAAAAAGATATGTGCCGTGTACGGAGAGAATGCCATAAGCGAAAGTGTGTGCCGGAAGTAGTTTGCGAAATTTCATTGCGGAGATTTTGATCTCCAAGATGCTCCTTTTGATCTGCAAGATGATCTCAAGATCGCTCTGGTCGGCCAGTCAATACTGATGTCGATAAAATCAAGACTTTAATCGACTCCGACCGGCATTTGACGGCTACAGAGATCGGACATAACCTCAACATTGACCAATCAACTGTTTCATTCACGGAAGCTTGGGACGGTAAACAAGCTTGATGTTTGGATGCCGCACGAACTGAGCGAAAAGAATGTAATGGATCGAATTTCAGTTTGCGATTCGCTGCTCAAACGCTATCAAAACGAACCATTTTTAAAGCGGATGATCACTAGCGATGAAAAGTGGATTGTCTACAACAACGTCAGTCGAAAAAGATTATGATCGAAGCACGGGCTGCTCAGACGGTCGCAAAGGCTGGATTACACCCGAAGAAGGTCATACTCAGTATCTAGTGGGATGGGAAAGGAATAGTCTATTATGAGTTACTGCCACCCAACAAAACGATTGATTCGACCAAGTACTGCTCACAACTGGTCAAATTAAAGCGAGCAATCGATCAAAAGCGGCCCGAATTGGCGAACAGAAAGGGTGTTGGGTTCCACCAGGACAACGCGTTTGTCTGGTGACTTGGCAAAAGTTATTGGGTAGGAACTACTTGGCAGAAGTTATTGGGTAGGGCTTGGGTAGGACATTTTGGTGCACCCACCGTATAGTCCGGACCTTACACCTTCAGACTATCACTTGATCCGGACGCTACAGAATAATTTGAATAATAAAACTTTCAGTTCCCTGGACGTCCTCAAAAACTACTTGGATGACTTCTTTGCCCAAAAATCTCAGGACTTCTATAAAAGAGGGATAATGAAGCTCGTGGAGACATGGCAGAAAGTCATTGAACAGAATGGAACACATTTAGTTGATTAAAATCGCTTTTTTTAAGTTTGAAATTTACTCGATTTACGGAATTATGCAGACCTAATATTTAAAAAAAAATTATATCTATGCTTATTTTGAATAAACTGTAGATAAGCGGAAGTCATGGTATTGATCGTATTGACTTCTGTCCAGAAGCGATTAGTTTCAAACGTCATAATACGACCTGCAGCAACTGCAAAACGACTGCACAACGCGAACATGCGCAACATACCGCAGGAGGATTGTCGTAATGACGACCATAGGGCTAGTACAAAATCCTTCGCGACCGAATGTCAGGACGATCAAAAGCGGCAGAAGAACGCAAGATGTAAGATATAAGATGACAAAACTGTCTAGATCCATATCACAGTACTTTGCCGGTTTCTATTTGTGATATGAACTCGTTGATGGCGAAGGTGAGACGACCGAATGGATTGTGGTGGCGACGATGATGTTCGTAATCTACTCAATGTCAACAGTAATATCCATCGCTCGTGAATATCGTCGCAAGAAGTTGTATTTCATTTGTATCTTATAAAGGGTATAGTGTTGCGTACAGTTAAAATAATTTTTTGAGGGAAAGAAAGATGTTTCTGTGATTTTCTGAGCACTTGCAAAATTAGCTTTCCAAAATGATTTTGGTGGAACGTGAACTTCATTCACGGTGAATGGCTGAGGCTGAATTAAACATATGAATAATTATTTTTATATAAAGTTTTATATAAAGCTTTTTTATATAAAGGATCAGTAATTAGAAAAAAATAAGAGTTTATCCAAAACTTTAGAGTAAGAAAACATGTTAAATCACACGTTGACTTGTATTCGACTAGTCACTCGTGTTGTGATTTGTATCACAATTACATTTTCTTCTCAGCTTTCGTTCCGTTCAAATAAGATATTTTTATTTCCCCCAGAATTGTGTACAAATTTTAACTTCGAATAAAATGTAAATGTAAGTTTCTGTTCAGAATGTAGTCTACAAATTCATCAATTAGTATTTTTACTTCGCAAAAGAGAAAGGGAAAAAAGAGCAAATTTCGTTACCTTTTTAAAATATCTGCGATCTCAGATAGTACACATTAGTTTCATATGTCCTTTTAAACATATGTAACGCTTCACAATCATATTAAATACGTTTAAAGAACGTATAAAACTAACTGTGTTATCTTAGATATATCATGTTATTTCATTTTCATTTCATCTTTAAAAACAGAAGGGCTACTGAATATGCTTGATTTAAAACCTAGGAAATCATTAGTAAACGTTAGGAAAAACTGACTTATCACATCTCAGTAGTAATGTAAGTAACATAATATAAGTAACATTATAATCTTACCGTCATAAATGATGGCAAAGAGAGATTTAACTTTTCGCACGTCGTAAGTTTACATTTTAAATTATTGCTCAGAATCATTAATATGAAGGTGCGTTTTATTGGTGATCCAAATTGATACCAGTTTTCATGAAATGCTACATCTGTCATTCCTGTACTCTGAATTCAACGTGCAACAGAATAAAATTATTAAGAAGATACATCAGAATTATAAGCTTGGTGATTTAAAAATGATTTACGAATTGTTCGTGTGATTATAATCACTAATATACAGGGTGAGACAAAAGAATAGAAACATTGAAATATTTCGAGAACAGCACACTTTAGCAAAAAACAATGGATGAGACAAAAGTTATAAGATTTTGAGTGCGGAACTCAATGGTAACTTTGACTTTGATCTTAAAGTCGAATTTGAAGATCATTTGAAGGTCAACTTATTTTTTTTTAAGGGAACCTACCAGATTTTATTGCATATTATTAGGTGTACAATTTTGCTCCCACCGTTTCCCTATAGATGGCTTTAGTGGAACTTAGTGGTCAAAGTATATAGATCATATACGTCATACAATCAACTTGGGCATCTGTCAACATAACCTAATAGTTACATTAGTGGATTTGTATCTGTACCATAAAGTTATCGTCGATTGAAGATGTAAGTTTACGAGCCAAATTCTCGTCATTTGCGGGAGGTTTTACTTTTCTGCTTCAATATGAAGAAATCTGCGGCTGAAACTTACCAAATGCTCTCAAATACCTATGGTGAGATCGCTATTAGTGAAAGAACGTGTCGTGAGTGGTTTCAACGCTTCACGAACGGTGATTTTCACGTCGAAAACCGGCATAACGGTGGAACAGGAAAGATGTTTGAAGATGCTGAATTGGAGGCATTACTTGATGAAGACTCGTGTCAAACTCAGAAAGAACTGGCACAATCATTCGAAGTGACTCAACAAGCCATTTTGAAGCGCCTCAAAGTCATGGGAATGATTCAAAAGCAAGGGTATTGGGCGCCGTACGAGTTGAAACCAAGAGATGTTGAACGGCGTTTGTTTACTTGTGAACAGCTGCTTGAAAGGCAAAGACGAAAAGGATTTCTGCATCACATTGTGACTGGAGATGAAAAATAAGTTCATTACAATAACCCCAAGCGCAGAAAATCATGGGGAGTTCCCGGCCATGCTTCCACATCGACGGCCAAACCGAACATTCATGGCTCCAAAGTAATGCTCTGTATTTGGTGGGATCAGCTCGGCGTAGTGTATTACGAGCTATTAAAACCAACTGAAACAATCACAGGCGATCGGTATCGAACTCAATTGATGCGTTTAAGCCGATCATTGAAAGACAAGCAGCCGCACTACGCCGAGAGACACGAGAAAGTGATTTTGCAGCATGACAATGCTCGACCCCATGTTGCAAAAGTGGTCAAGACATACTTGGAAACGTTGAAATGGGAAGTCCTACCCCATCCGCCGTACTCTCCAGACGTTGCACTTTCGGATTATCACTTGTTCCGATCAATGGCACACGGCCTGGCTGACCAACACTTCCAGTCTTATGAAGAAGTCGGAAAATGGATAGATTCGTGGATTAACTCAAAAGACGACCAGTTTTTTCGACGCGCGATTCGTGCATTGCCCAAAAGATGGGAGAAA